TCAGAAGAACACAGGTTATATGGAATGATAATTAGTTATTAACTTAAATCTGATTAAGTTCGTATTCCTTTTGCACTTTTATCATTCATGTTATTAATTATACTTTTATTTATTTATCATTGATATCAATATGTACTCATTATTATCATCAGCGTGTGTTTCATTGTTATTTTATTAATATAACGATCATTATTTTCTTCGATATAATATATTGCTGTTGTTTTTATTGTTTTTGTCCCTGTTTTTAATACTATTTTTTATTATTATCGTTATGATTAGTATTGTTTAATATAACCATTATCAATATCACTATTATTTTATTATCATTAGTATTGTCTTACTAGTAATAGAGTCGTTCTACTATTATTACTATTACTAATATCATTATTAACTGCAAACACTGTCAAAATTATCATCATAATTAATACATTTAATTTCATCATTATCCTATTTATGATAAGCGGTATTGCTATGATTATTATCATGATCGTTATTATCATCATTATTTTTATTTTTGCTATTTTCGTAATTACTAACTTTATTTCTGTTGCCATTATTGTTTTTGTTATCATCGCTGTGTGCTTTTGGTACTCTCATTAAGATTTTCATCATTTTATTACTGAAATATGCTTTTACTTATCATTGGCACTGTAATTGTCATTATTAATACTTGCCTAATTAAGGTCATTGCACCTTTTATTGTTCCTATCATTATCATTTTACTTAACTGCTTATATTTCGTTTTGTCTGAATCATTATTACCATTGTTATTCCCTCTATATTTTTTGCATGAATTAGTATTAAAAAAAATACAACTCTTATCTGTACAACGTCTAAACAGTCACGTTATAATTAGAATATCATAATAAATCTTGAATATCATCGCACACCATCCATAGCCCCTTCACAATACGTGGTCTTACGGACAATCTCAAAGACATATTTACCATTCACCATCATTACTTGAAATAAACAGTGCTGATAGTGAAAAGGAGGTGTGTGTGTGTGTGCCACGCATAAATTGTTTTCGATGGTGTTGCCATGAACTATGAGCAAAGAGACAAAGAAACTAGAAAAAAAGAAAGAGAGAGAGAGAGAGAGAGAGAAATAACAACGGTAAACAGCTGTTTTGTGGTGGCACATTTGCAACGTTGCCACATCTCACCCATAATACCTCCTTTGGCAAGCAAAATAGGGTTCTGTTTTTTGGGTGGCTCATATAAGAGAGAGGAAGAAACATATATATTTCTCTTTGTAACTATGTACGCAGCACTATGGTAGTGCTTGTATATATTTAGCAAGCATCAAACTTTGCCTTATAATATAAACAAAAACAAAATAAAAAAAAATGCATTATAGTTTTTGCTTTTTAGGGGAAACCTGTTCCACGAAGCATTTGTTTTGATTTTATAAGTAATTATGATGCTTTCTTATGTTTGGTCGTTGTTTTTACTTCTGTATCATTTTGAAGAAAAAAAATAAAGTTTGTGAAGTTTTTAGGTGCATCGTTAGTGTATGTTTGTAAGTTATAATTCTTTAATGCGTCACTTTATTGATTTCGAATGCAATAAAACAGAGCTATATCAACTTTGTTTTTTCTTATCATTATCCTCGCCAACTCTATATATGAAATACATCAGAAAATGAACACAAAAACTATTTTATAAACATGTGGTGAAAATTTCATTAACAACAATTATCGTTAACGTCATTTCAGTGCCCAAAAAATACTGAGATGGTGATTATAACAAAATTTGATAACGACCGAATCAAGGACAATGCTTATGGTACTAGAAATAACAATAATAAAAAAGAAAATATGGACACTAGATGCAATTTCATACCAAACAATATTAGTCACTGACGGATCCAGGAAATCGGTTACAGGGGGGGGGAGAGCTATCAGATCTGTTAATGACGTGGCCTAATTATAGGTCTATTTAAACAAGGGCGGGTCGACACTGCATTCCGGTGCTGGAGAAGTAACAACACAAGCAAGAGCACGAGTCGGCTGACCAGTCATTAACCACTGAGCTTTTTCTAGCAGCATACAAGCACAAGAGGAGCAGCAGAACATAGGACATCGCGTTCTATAATTACGAACTAGAACATAGGACACTGCGTTCTATGATTACGAACTTTTAACCTATATCTTAGTTGATCAGTCGTCCTCGCTTCAAGTACGACCCCTTGTCATCCATGATTTGGAAGCCTATGTCCTAATTCCGACAGTAATGATAACGATAGCAATGATAATGAAACCATAAAATAGAAATAATACACCATTTAACAACAAAAACAAAAATGATGATAAGAAATCACAGGAACGTGTGGGATCAAGGTGTCTAAAAAAATAAAAAAAAATAAAAAATAAAAATCCGTCTGTGTCACAATACTTCATGGACATCCAGCATGCAAGCCTCAGGACACAATACCATTGAAGTAAGTCCCAAACTGTCCTAAAGTATTATGAATGGTTACTGCTGGACACTTATTTACCGTAGAGCACAGCTGATGCACAAAAACATGTAAGTTGAGACCAGAACCCTTAAATACCTTGCAATTGCGTTGATCTTGCTGTCTCTTAAGGCCGTGTCACACTAGCACTTTTTCCGTAAATTTTTTGGTAATTTTATTTAACATAAATACAAACATTCTCGAATATAGTTTTTGATCTGAGTTGGAGAGTTGGCTGAAAAAGTTGACGGAAAGGTTTTCAGACGGAAACGATCATTATCGTCTGACTGGAGAATCGACAATTCGCTCAAAAATGGACAAAATTTCAGAAAATTGTCAAAAAATTGACGGAAAAAGTGCCAGTGTGACGGCAACTTTAGTGATGCATAGGTTTTTTTCTCAAGAAGTGAAAGAAAAGAGGGGAATAAGTTGGAAGAAAAGAAATAGAAAAAGGGGATAAATAAGCTAGAGGAGAAGAAGGAAAGGGGAATATAAGCTTAAGAAGAAGAGGAAGAAGAAAAATGAGAATAAATAAAGGGGAGAAATAAGTTTAAAAAGAAGAGGACGCAGAAGAAAAAGATGAAAGCTAAAAGAGAAAAAGAAAAGGTAAGAATGATCTGCCAGAGAAGAAAAAATAAAGAAAATTAGATAGAAAGAGATGAAGATAAATGAAAAAATAGCGGAAGAAAAGGAGGAAAATAAGCTGAACAAGAAGACAGGGAAATAATCAAGAAAGTGGTGAGAAAAGAAAAACAAGACAAAAAAAGAGAGAACGAGGAGAACCACGGTCTTTATGATAGACAGTATGTCTTTTCTTTTAATTCTTGTTTCATGTTCTGTTCAGTGTCGTAGTTAATTAACCCAAGGAGAGGGCGATGAAACACAAAAACAAAAATCTATGAGTAAATAAAACAAAATTAAACACATTTTATTTTTATTTTTATTTTTTGGATAAGGTTATAAATTTGCTTGCAATTAAGAAAGTCTGGCGGTAATTGCATAATCTTTACACAGAAGAAATGCATTTTCTAGTCAGTGAATCTTACAGTGATGTTGTGAGCTAGGATATGTGTTATCTCTAATCTAAGGGTTTCTGCACATACGAAAAGAGATATTGATATCACTAAATTATTATTGGGATCACTATTGTTACCATTATAACAAGAGTATTTTATATATATCTTCTTTATCTGTATGGATGTAAATTTTTCAGAAAGCATAAAAAATCATGTTCTTCCTCGTAAATCAAGAACGCGTATTCTTTTAACCAATCAATTGCTGATATATTGGAAAACTTGCCATAGACTTGGTCAGCTGTATGCGATTTTTAAAAAGTCTAACCTCGCGATTTTCTACCTATGCCGCATGCTTACTCCGTGGCAGCTGGATCGCTTGCTTGCAATTCAGCCACAACGATAAGCATACAGTTCAAAGAAAACACATGAGTTAACTAGAAATAGTTGACACAGGCCGGGCCACGCCAGAGAAAAGGCCCCGGAAATCTAACTGAACTGAACTGATTTTCTACCACTTATAATTGAGTTCTGTCTTTCTGCACACCCCCACTAGTGAAGGAACTGATTTTCTACCACTTGATAATTGAGTTCTTCTTTCTGCACAACTCTGACACCTTGGTGACCTAATGGACTTATGACCTCGGCAGGATACACACGTCGGTCAAACTCGAGCAAGTGCAGTAGTAGTTTTTTTTTTTTTTTTTTTTTTTTTTTTTAGTTTTCCCAAGAACGAACGAAAAATCTATGCTTAGGTGGACTTTATATAGTGTTTGTTTTTTACGGCCTATCTGATCGGGCGTCAGAACGTCATGTCTGTATATAACAGGTAAGGTTATGATACTTTTATTGTGTGGTAAAGTTACCGCAAAGCACGCATTCAGAATCGGTTTTTAAAAAGATGGAAGTTATTAACAACTGTTGTGAGACCTTTTCAGATTCAATACTTATTGTACAGTGCTCATAATATTGATTATCAAATGTATATTTTTCATTTATTATTCCCCGGTGATTCATTTAGCGTTCGTACTTCAAATGAACCGATATGAAACTATAGGAAGATGTCATAACAGGTTGATTTATTAAAAGACCGATAACTTGAAAGCGCATATGTATATTAGTGTGTGTAGAGGTTGGTTATAATATATAATAAGTGGGTACTAGTGATTATATAAATGAACATGCACGGTTGCTTGGCCACGATTGGTCTGACCCCAATGTTTTCAGCATATATTCTCGTATTTTCCCCAGTGGAATAGGAAGAGAAAAAGCGCAGGAACTTCTTGTCTAGCATAGAGCAAGCATCTTGAATGAAATCAAACTCTCACAAAGTTACTTGAACTGGATGGAACAGTGCGCAATATTGACACGTATCCCCTCTGAAACAAATTTTCCCGTAACCATAACTCAAGTGATATCTTCGAAATTTCATCACAACTAATTCACTCTTTATTTAATGTTCTCGTTTATTATCAAAGAGAATTGCGCAAAGTGAAGGAAACGAAAGGCGCGCATACTCCGAAGTGGCGGCCATCTCCACCAAACAGTGTCGGATGAAGTCGGCTTCACAGTGTTTACAAGCTAAAGCCAAGCACATTCGCGGAATTTCATTATCTTGATAAATATATCCAATGCTACCACGATGAAGTCCAAAACTAGGATAATACAAATATCCAACATAGCCCCACAGGCTACAAAGGATCAGATGTCGACCTTGTTTGGATTTTTAGGAAAAATTGAAGACATTCGCCTCTACCCAACCATGTGAGATTGGTTATTTTATCTGTATTCTCTCGTATTTATAAGACTTTAGGTGACTCAGTTTTGTTTGTTTATATATACTTAGTTTATAGATTTAGAGAAGGACATGTTTCAGTATCTTTCCTGTGTATATTTTCCGTCACACCTCGTTATTGAAGCCATCTCGCAGATTATTGATAAGAGTGGAAACGTTTTCCAAGTCTGTTGCTCTTAGACTCAGTGAATATAAAGCCTGTAATTGTTTAACTGTTAAGATGTGTCTATTGATGTGGAATGCACCAAACTTCAAAAATACTTTTTACTCATTTTCCTGAAGTTGTTTGTCTGATTTAATTCATAAATGGCTGCCTGGTATTTCCCCTCATAAGTGTCCATGCCATTACTGCCGCTGCTTTCATGTGGTAAAATCACCAGAAACAATGGATTCCATCAAAATTGATTTTAAAATGATAGTGTTTAGAAGCAGTTACACCAGCTTTGTTCAAGCAGAAGTTTTCCTGAAGTGATGATATATCATACCGTAAGCCTAGATGAGAAATTTTGTTTTGTTTGCACAATAAAGACCAGATAACAAAGCCCCGTCCCATATATTCTAGCAGAATAGAAGTTTTTGACACTTCAGTCAAATTATCACTAAAAAATGAATGGTTATCCTTGAACCTTGGAACACATCCACTCAAAAGAAAGTCCAGCAGTCACCAGAGAGCCTTCAGTACTCAGGCGAAGGCCAACAAACCTCAGCCTCACATATTCGTCAAGATAGGGCTTGGACTGATTCCTTATTTGACAGCTGGGTTTATCTTTATGGTATGGACGCAATAAGGTAAGGCAAATTGAGTATGAGAGGACAGAAAGTTGCAGTCATTGGTACGTAAAATAATCAGCAGACAGAAATGCTAATGCCACAAATAAAGGAAAAGTTCACGGAAAGCCCCACTCTCTACCCAAGTCCACACGGTACTCCGGAGTTTCAACCCTAGGCCTATCTTGCCATGCATACCAAGGTGAAGACAATGTTTCCGAGGGATATTGGGGGGCAAAGCCCTCCATCAACCTTCCCCTCAAGCAATCGGCATCTAGTCACGACAACTTAGATTGATGAATTAACTTTTTGACATGGAGTTGGGGGCCAGTCCTTTGGTGAGTGCGTCCATACTGTCAAGAATTACCATTATGTTCATGATGAAGTTTTAATGATCTTACACCAGAGTGCCAAAAACATGGTGCCTATAGTGAGCACTCAAGTCACTGTATATATATTGTAATTGTGGACTCATCTGCTCTTTCTGCAGATAGTTTTCAATAGCTGATGAAACTTTACAGTCATTTCTGCCATCCACTGGAGGTCAGGAGGCTCCACTACTAGGACCCCCATGGTAAATGACCCAAAGCAGATGGGAGATACAATTTCACTCCAGAAAATAGACACTCAATGTTTTTTTCAATATAGATTACAGAATATTTTATTGTGTCACCATGTAATTTGCTTACTGAAAACCACATCCCTTTGTATTTCAAAGCTGATTTTTTCTTCAATTTTGTTGATTGTCTGAACTGCTTGGTATTTAACTTTTTTTATTTGGATCACTTGATGGACTCAGATATCAAACTGTGATGGTTACTAATGTCTACTTATTCTGTATAGCCACTATAATGTTTTAAAAATGGCCCACAATGGATACAACACTGTAAATGAAACATTTCTCACTGATGCTTCTCAAGGAATGGAGTCTCTCTGCATGGTCAAAAATATTGGATGTTAAAACAAATGAGTGTTGTCATCAATTATAAAGAACTATATAATGACTGTCTAAAGAGTTTAAAAGCATAACAGTAAATTGATACATTAAATTCATAGCTATTGAATAGTAACCATTGATAATTGCAAAATATCATTTTCCATAAGTGTGTAATATTACTTAAACTAATTGACATGTTGTAATGAGTTATGCGGTCAGTGTAGTCATATCCTTACAGGATGAACTTAACAAGTGACTTAGAAAACTAGTACAACAAATTAAATTAGAACTGATTTTTCAATTAGCATTTGATGTCTGTTGTTCCCAGACAGCTTTTCTAATATCATCTGGACATGTTATTCTAGATACATTTGGCATGGAAATACATTGTTGCTTCTTATATTTTCATTAACAGAAATCATATTTTCAAAATACAAGAGGCAGCAAGATATCAGTGATGTAGGCTACATACATACATTTTAGCATCTTTATGAATTCATTTAGAGGAATACTTAAAAAATAACATTTCCCTTTATTTTCCAGACGTGATGTTGCCATTCCAGTCCAGTCACGTATCTGTTTCATCAAATTCCATGACCGGGATTCGGTTAGCGTTGCCCAGCACCTCACCAACACAGTCTTCATCGACAGAGCTCTTATTGTCATTCCATTCACCACTGGTGACATGCCGGATGAACAACGGGCAATGGAAATTTTGGGCACAGGTGGCACCATACCAGGCATTGGACAGGAAGCAAAGTGGCCAGCTCATGTTACCAACCAGGTTTGTGTGTGCTTGATAGTTTAGTTTAGTTTTTTTTTTTTTTTTTTTTATTCTTTTCTTATCTTATCTTATCTTATCTCTGAAGTTAGTATTTGCATAGGTATTTGCAAGTAGAACAGAAGGGCATGTTTTGTATGTTTTGTTTTCTGATTCATTGAAATTGAATTTTTTCTTTTTCTGAAGAATTTTGATAGTGATTAAAAAATACAAATTCAACAGATTGATGGTATTATTTTGAGGACTCATGACCCAGCATTGGCAGAGAATGACCTCCCAGATTACCCTCCACTGCCAGCAACAACTGAATCTCACAAGATTAACGAGATTCGACGCACTGTTGTGTTTGACAACCTTGACCCCACGGTAAGATGTTACCCAAGAAAAGTTGTAATTGAATTTTGGAGGTGGTATTGGAAACATTGTAATTAGTCATTATGTCTTGTTGACAGAGGTTGTTTGACAAAATTTTCTTCCAGGTCTACAGCTTTGATAAAGTTCAGTCAGATAAACTAGAAAGTTCTGATGTATTTTCCCTCAGTAATGGCTGTTACACTGCCTAGATTTTATGATTATATAAATCTTTTTCTTCTCTTTTCCCAGGTCACTACTGATCAGCTGATGGAGTTAGCTGCTAAAGCTGGAGAAGTGAGGTATCTGCGTTTGGGCACAGAGATGAACGGCGCAAGAAATGCCCTGGTTGAGTATTCTGAGCAACCCTTCATTATTGCAGCATTGAAGATGCACAATCAAGAGCACATGAGCCGTCTCATTAAGTTAGTAGGATTTTCATTTTTGTTAAAAAATGAAAATGAGTTTTATATCAAGAATCTCTGTTTTTTTTATTGCTATCCTGCCAGCCATTGTTTGCCATCAGTTATATATGGTCCAGTCTCACTTGTACCATGTACCTGAGTAGAAATTTGACTTTTTGTTAAGTATTTACTTAAAGTGATCTTGATAATTCATTAGTTTATGAAAATATATTGCATCTAATGGTATGCCACAGTCAGATGGGAGAAGTTACCATAACCTGTTCCCTTTTCACCTATTCAGGGTTATTAAAAAGAGTGAAAGGGAACATGAATATTCCCTTATATTTGCCACAAGATGCATGCTGTCACTTCTCTGCCTCTTTTTCTAACAGTAAACGTAAAAGACAGTAGTAGGAGTAATAAGTTCTGTAATGATCTTGGAAGTCCACTGGCATTTTTTTTTTATTATTATTATTATTATTGATTTAGGTATTATTATTATTATTATTATTATTATTATTATTATATATTATTATTTTTATTGTTATTTATTTTTTTTTTATTATTATTATTATTGTTATTATTATTTTATGTATTTTTTTTTTTTATTGTTATTATTTTCTTCATCATTATTATTATTTTCCTTATCAATATTCTGTTGCTTGCTGTTGCAGATAGAAGATATGTTTTATCTCATTATTTATTGATCCTATCTTCCAACAGGGTCAACCATTCCACTGTAGCCATTATAAAACCGCAAACAAAAAGCAACGAAGCAGCTCAGCGCGAGATTGAAGAAGCAATGAGACGAGTCAAAGAGGCACAGAAC